GGGTCTGATCTAAAACCTTGCTGTAAACTTCAGGGTCTGGACCAGCCCCATCCCAACTTGCTGACACCTGGATCCAGGTCCTCAGCGCTGACTTTCTTTGGGTCACTTGGCTCAATGCTGTGATGTGGTTTATTCTGTGTTTCTGGCCTTGTTATAGTTTGCCTGCCCCGGATTCTTCCCTACCAGCTGTTGCCTGTTACAGAACCAGCACTGAGAGACAGCAAGACCCCACGAGGGAAGAGAAGATGCTAGGAATCGAGACTCAGCCCAGGAAGAGTTTCTGGTAGCACTGCTCTGCGGTGTAAAATTTATGGGAAGGAGAAATACGCCCCGCAAAGACAGAGCCTCGGGCCTCTCCAATGGCCATTTCTTTCCTCATTCGTTTAATACTTAGTTTCCTGTGCTCACTATAAGTTTTTGTCATTTAGCCCAGAAGGCTGGGGACATTCTCCTGTTCCCTCAGCAGGGCCTGTGCTGGTAGAGGAGCAGGGAGAAGGAGCTGGTCCTAGCGACACTACGTGGGTTCTCCAGACGGAACAGGGATGTCTACGCAGAGGGCGCCGGGCGGGCAATGACTACTGGGGGGTCATTACCTTTACTCCCGGCAGTCAACAGCACTTTCTTCGTGGAAGCTTGGATGTGAAACTTTATGGATCTTTATAAATAACAGGCATTTGTATTAATACTATAAGAAGTAAAATTTGGATACAGTGCATACAGTAAGATTACCTACTGACAAACACACAGCATAAAAACATAAACCAAAATGCTGCAATCCCATCACCTGGGATTTGGGGAAGGATCTCTCCCTGCCACTGAACTACAACCAGCACAGGAAAACAAAGATGTGACATTTCTGCCCGGTCATCTCTTTAAAGACATTTTTTTTAAACCGTACCCAACTTCTTCCAAGTTAAGGTGCTAACATATGTCTGGCTTATCTTCTCTAGACCCAGCAATACAATGTAGTTGGGGGAAACAAAAGCATTCAGTGCTTATCATACTTAATATCGTTGAGTATCACACTAACATCGTGAGCGTGTGTCATGTGACACTCTTGTTACTCACTTGTTTTTTATTCTGTTTTGGGTTCCAAGATGCTGTTTCTCTTACTCCTGTTTGATCTTTTCCAGGCCCCTTTGTTTTCACTCTTATTCCTTTGTCCGTCAGTGTTGGCGCTGCTAGTAACTTCATACTTTGTCTTCTTTCACACTATACATTCTTTCTAGGTGAACGCATCTACTATTCTGCCTTCAGTGACTCTCTAGTAATTCCCAAATTAGTATTTTAGCCCAAACCTCTTGCCTAAGATCCAGACATTTCTATTCAGCTGACTGTTGGACAAGTCAGCACCTTTTTAATTGTCTTCTCTGCTCCCGGCCTTTCCCGTTTTCAATTCATTCTTCACACTTCTGACAGTGATTACATTGTCACTGCCCTACTTAGAAGTTTTCAGTGACTCCTCACTGCCTTCGGCATTTAAAAAAATCTAGAGTCCTTACTATAATGCCCAAGAGCCTTCAAAATCCAGTCCATTCTCGTCTCTAAAAGTAACAGCGGTTCTCCAAACAAGTCCTCCGGCCTCTCATGTTTTGGAACATGTAGCAACATACGGAAAACCCTTCACAGCCATGCCTGTTATGGGATTAATCCCACCTGTTTCAAAATGAGTTCAGTTGGCAATTAAGTTCCATTTTTATTGAGAACATATAAAATGCCGGGCACATGCAACCTTGGAGTTCCTGCAGTCATGGAGTTGATGTTCCCGTGTGTGTGTGTGTGTGTGTGTGTGTGTGTGTGTGTGTGAGAGAGAGAGAGAGAGAGAGAGAGAGAGAGAGAGATAAGGGAGTGAGGAGGTGAATAAATAAATAGGAAACTTTTAAGTGTGATAAAGCTTATGATTAAAACCAAACAAGCTGATTTCACAGTAACTAGGAAGGTGTCTTTAACTACACTTCCTCTTTAGGAGGAAGGGACGTTTAGCCCGAGACTCCCTCTGGGAAGCTGCCGCTGCCCTTCCTCCAATGGCTTATGTCTCACAGAGCATTCATCACACTGTTCTTCATTCGGGTTTTCACTTGTGCAGTTCCATCTCTCCACATACTTGTTTCTTGAAGGGAAGAACTCTGTCTTTTCAATTGAAATCTCTCCTAACATAAAGCCTGGCACATAGTTGATGTTGAATAAAGATGAAGAAATTAACAAATCAATGAAATAAACCAGCTTTCACATGATGGAGAGAAAAAGGAAGGAGGCCACAGAGAAGTTTTCAAGGACCAAACAGTTAAATTCAGGTGGACAGAGCCCATGACCGCTATGTCCATCCCATATACCCCAAGTTGAAAGGCTAGAGGGAAACTAACAGCAGGGCTCACCAGCCACTGGGTATGATGCCCGTATCTACTCCTCCCCAAGTTCTTCTTATTCTGCGATTCTGACTATTCCTGGGTTTGTTTTCTCCACACCCACAGGTCTCCTCGTCTTCCCCGGACAATGATTCCTGCTTCCCTGCTTCAATTTCCCCAGAGCCTGAGTTTAGCTGGCCTGAACTGGCCTTCCACCTGTAACCAACTGCAGCCAGTGGGACCTCAGCTATTTCTTCAGTCTTCACGAGCCAATGTAGGGACTCTTCTTTATCCCTACTCTTACGGCCTCGGATTTGCTTTCCGATTTATACAAACTAAGAATGACTATGAATTACCTGCTCAGTCACATAGTGCCAATACTCCCTTAAATTCTGCCATAAAATCTTGGTTTTCTTGATCAGTAGTCTGACCATATAACTTGTCACCGAAGCTGAGACTTTTTGAGAAGGAAAAGAAAATGCATTGGATAACTGTGGACAGCAGGTGGACACCAGGTTTGGTGGACACCCTCCTTCCAGCAGTTTCCTAGAGTCTCAGCTGCCGCAGCGACTTCCTCCTGGGCTCCCTGCCATCTGGCCAGGCTGCTCCCCGCACTGGAGCTTCCCCAGGGGCTCAGACCTGACCGTCTGAGTGATGAAAGGACTTCCCAGGATTGCCAGTGCCTTGGGTAAAGATTCATATGTGGAAACTTCTAGTAAGGGTGTCAACATTTACGGACCTCTTATTATAAGACAGGCATGGTGGCCCTGGCTGGTGTGGCTCAGTGGATTGAGCGGCAGCCTGTGAACCAAAGGGTCACTGGATCGATTCCCAGTCAGGGCACATGCCTGGGTTGTGGGCCAGGTCCCCAGTGAGGGGCGTGCAGGAGGCAACCACACATTGATGTTTCTCTCCCTCTCTTTCTTCTTCCCTTCCCCTCTCTCTAAAAATAAATAAATAAAAATCTTTTAAAAAACTGTTTTTTATATATATATATATATGATATATATATATATATATATATATATATATATATATTATAACCAAGGGAAAGTTCTTCCATTTTAGAGCAAAAAGAAACAGGCTTCAAGAGGTTCGTTTAGTCAAGGGCAAGGGCACACATTTAGTCCCAGCCAGGTCTGTCCATCTGCAAGTGCTCATGTTCCAAAGTGCCGTGGTATAATCCCTTGCTGAAGTATCTTTTAATTGAGAAAATACTGATCACTAGAAAGAATATATCCATAAACCAATCATAGGCATGCATAAAGTAGTAATCTGAATTTAAAACTTCTTACCATTCTCTTTTTTTCAAAACCCATTCTTACATGTTCTATTTGACAGTATTTGAAATAGGAATATACTTGTTTTCCATAGAGGAAAACTTATGAATTTTAAAATACTTGGAAAAAAATGTCATTATCAATTCCCAAAGATGACAATAATTCTAAATCCCCAAGAGTCATTTTCGATGCCACCACTGTGTCCTTAGACTTCCTTTAATGTAACTGTGAAACCCACTTGGTTAATCTGTTTCTTACCCGCCATACCTTTCTTATTAACAACTATCATAAAACTGCTCACATAACCCCTATTTCCTAGACTAATGGGTCCCCAAAGTTTGGAGCTGCACATCTCAACAGTAAAAAATGGGGTGCATGTGCTCAATAAATGCATGTTCAGGAATTATATACTGGCTTCAGTGTAACTATAGCGCACACTCCAAAATGGAAATGTAAACAATGGAATAAAAGAAAATGTAAGTGCTGATAACTGGCATGTGTCCCGAAGGGTCACCAGGTCTACTCCCTGACACCCACTGTGCAAACTCATCATTTAAATGAGTGCAACTCATGTTAACGTGCATGCGAATCCCGGGTTCTGGTCCAGTATGTAGGATGGGCCTGAGAGTCTGCGCTTCCAACAAGCTCTCCAGTGATGCTAATGTTGTTCCGAAACCGAGTAACAAGAATGTAAGAGATAAAGGTTTAGCCAAGACTTAGGTTGTCATTTTCCTGGGAGTAAAACAAACAGCTGCCTGTAAAGTCAACTTTCCATCACCATGAGTGAAACTGAGAAAAGCTGCTTTGTAACCCGTAGAACATCATTACACATACTAACCAATAACAGATCTGAAATGTAAATGATAATCATGCCTGTGCATACACTCGGTAACCTCGGAGTATCAAAGACAAACTGACTAAACTAAACAGATTAAAACATATGCATTTTCATCTGCTTCCAACATGCAATCATAGCAGGAAACCTGTGACTAACTATCATCAGCTAGCATTGATGTTTATATCAGTATTAACAGGGTCAAAGACATCTGGGTTGTTTGGGTTTGTTGTTTGTTTTGTTTTTTGCTTTTTAGTTTCAAATAAATGCAAAGTGAGAGTGGCCAAGCAGAGAACACTATTTTAAAACCCTACCTTAAATTTACACATTAATGGGTCCCGACAGTTTAAACGCACAGGACTGTACCTACGTTCAGAATGCGAGCGGAATAAAGTCAGGAGGGCTGCTGGCTCTGTTGCTAGTCTCCCAGTTCCCTAACCAACCCTGAAGTCCCAGCACTGCTGGCTCGCCAACAATTTCCACCGGCAAACGCACCCCACGCACGAAAACTAGCATCATACCCGATTTTCAGTTATTTACCTTGTCAATCATCTTTCTTGCTTCCACCTCCTCACTGTTGGGATTCTCTAACTCAATGGTATAAGTACCCTTGTCACTTTGGTCATCATCATTATCCTTTTCAGAAGTAGCAGAAGTGGCTTGATTTTTTAACATTTTATCCATCTCCTGGCTCGGTCTGTGCCCGAGACTCCCTGAACTTCTTAACAATGCAGTTTGTAGGAAGGGGATTGACACCGCTGGCTCCTCTGATTTCTGCTTTAACAATTTCCCATGCGGGACACCATGCCCCCCTCTGTGATGCGCAGAGCTAGTCTGTAAAGACAAAGAAACCACTTTGGCGTCTGCTGTTGGAGACTGGGGGTTTTCAAGTTTTGTATGTGGTGTTGAGAAAGCAGTGTCCTCACACAGGATCCCCGCACTCTGAGAAAAGGAATGTGACCTTCTTTTTCTGGGGTGGTCCTCCTCAAAGAACGCGACCATAAAAGCAGTTTGACTTACAACAGCTTGGTCTGGATGCTTCTCGGGAGCCTGGCCCTTCGGCAGCTTTTTCTGCTCTGAGTGGTGGCGCCGGAAGTGCTCCTCCAGAGTCGCCCGTTTGCTGCAGCGCCGGTGAGCCCCGGCGTTTTCGGAATCGCTCTGTGTACCATCGTCATGCTTATTTCCTGGACACGAAAAGGAAACCGCATGATAGAGAAGGAAAGACTCCCATGTAGAAACTGAGAAGCACACACAAAGGTGTCATTTGTTCTGCCCCGTCCCCTTTCTACCCAAAGTCGTATGTTCTCTCCTGTAACAGGCTCCGCAAACCTGCCTCCACTGCAATGCTTACATTCAGATTGTACCACCCGACAATGAGCTCCTTTATGAACAACTGAATAGGACTGTCTTTCTTTCTCCAAATTCTAACTTTATATAAGCGATGCATCAATGCCTTAAAAAGATAAGCAATGCTCTATCACCTATGATAGTCTGTATTTACAACATTAATAAACATTAATCCTACTTTAAAAACTTATACCTTATGTAAACAATCAAAAATGTGTCTAGCATCACAGAGGAAGAGATGGGAAAAGGATCATCCCACCGAAATGCTTATCATCACACAGAAAAAGAGAGTACAAATGCCATAAAAAAGCGATCCATCTTACTTTTGACGATATACACTACATCCATAAGAATAGCATCTTTCCAGTGTCTGCCAATTCGTATACAATGGTTTACAGATGTTTCTAGCTATGCGAACTTCTGAATATCTGCCCGTGAGCTCTAAACTATGGTGGCCTCGAAGAGTTAAAGAAAGCATGCTATAATGTCCGTCTATAAAATCCTATATAAATCTAAGCATCTACTGGGCAAATGGCATGGTGTTAGCTATAACCATAGAAAAATCTACTTGTCTTCACCATAAAGCAAACAGAGTCAACTTGAAATATATCTGAATTTTGAAACATCAGCTTTCTAAAAGAGGGTTTTTTTTTGCCAACCTTCATAGTTAGTTGTACTAGGAATTAAATGTAAAATTTTATGAAAATTATCTGATTTTCCCGATTGGGAATTCTCATTACATAAATAATAAGAACATTAGAATAGTTAAAGGATTACCATATTGTTATAGCATAAAATCATTGGAAGGTCTAGAGTCACTCTGCATGTTGAAAGACCGAAGCGTAAAGGAGGGCTTAGAGGCTGACTTCCTCGGGGGAAAGCTACGAACGAATGTAGTCAACCAGGTGCATTCCAGAGCTTCCCAGACCAAGCCTGATTTTTACATGCTCCTGGGCTACAGGTTCAAATCTGAATGAATACTCGCTAAAGAATGTGGCATTGGAGACAACCATCAGAATGAAAGCCTGGGCGGCTGGGAGGGACAACGCACAGGAGTCCTAGGAAACGGCTGAGTTTTAATGTTCATGGGCTTGTCCTGTAAGTTGAGAGGTTCCCAGCTGGTGCCAACGACTTATCACAAGAGGACTGGCTGAGAAGCCGCGGAAGAGAGAACGGCAAAGCACGCACAATGGGGCAACGTTCTGGAAAATGGGCAAGGGGCACAAAGGGAGTTAGGACCCAAATGTGGGGTTTAGGGGAGCACTCTCAGCACACTGATGGTGAATAACACTATAAACCACAGCTACGACAACAAATCTGAAACGGTCTTTAAATGCGCAACTTTTCAAAAGTGCAATCTGAAAAGAAAAAAACCATTTGTTTAATTAACAGACTCCTTGCCTTGAGTAATTAAGCCAAGAATTAGGGGTAGCACAGGGAATTCAAAACCAAACAAAACCACCAGTCCAAATACAATGGTCATTAAAAACGTGATCTTTTACAACTTATTTCATTGTTGCGTTGGGTATATTGAAAAGAAATCCAGTTTGTAAGAGCTGGATATAACTAAACTCCAGTATTCCCTGCATAAGAAGCGCAAATAACCCATGTTACACATACATAACATGGAAACACCATTTTTACAGAATTTAGTTCTCGTACCAATGTATAAATCTGGGCACTTGGTGTCAGGCACTTTCAGTATGTTTCCTTTAAGTTATAATTTAAAAATTCTATTTTAATTTATAAAGTAGCCATTTTCCTCTTTGGAAAATGTATTATTTCTGCTTGCATTGCTCAATGCCACACAAGGTGAGACATCAGATCAGAACTGCAATTTCTGTTTTCACGCAACAAAAAATCCCTGGGAAGCCCGCCTCACCAAGCTTCCTTCCGTTTTGTCTGTGCTTAGCCACGCCCAGATAGGTTGCTGTTCTTTAAGTATTTGGGGGGGATAGGTTAACTGTACTACGTCAGTAGCTGTGGCCAAAAGAAGCTGCAACCCCCTAAAGGGTAAGAGTATACGGTCTTTATGACGTTATTTTCTTCACTGCCCCAAAGCACGTGCACTTTACTCCTCCGGGCGCAAAGTTTTTTGTTTTGTCTTGCCTACTTTCAAGTTTCTGGGAAAACATCAAACGTCCTTTGTAAATATATCTGGAGTAGTATAATGGATATATTTTGGACCAAGCTGAGTTATATTCACAAAGACCTTTTTAGGTGGCTAATAAAATGGCATGAAGGCATATTCAAAAGAAGGGTTCCAAGCAATGGCAACATAAAACATGTCTACTCTAAATCAGCTTTGAGGAATGATAGTGATTTGATTGCACAATTTCTGATCAGACTTTCAAATATACAGGGTCCGGCATAAATAATATCCCCTTTTGTTATAAATTTTAAAAAAGATTTTATTTATCTTTAGAGGGGAAGAAAAAGAGAGAGGGAGAGAAATATCAGTGTATGGTTGCCTCTCGTGTGTCTCCTGCCGGGAACTGGCCTGCAACCCAGGCCAGTGCCCAGACTGGGAATCGAACCTCCATCCTTTGGTTTGCAGGCCTGCACTCAATCCACTGAGCTACACCAGCCAGGGGCCTTTTGTTATGAATTTTTTATTACAAAATCATAAGCATGTGATTCTGTAACAAAACAGTATCACATTCAAGCACACCAGATAACATTTTAGGAGAAATGTTCAAATTGCTGTCTATCTTGTGCGAGACATTCCCGTACCCTCCCAAGCACACTCAAGCCTTATTCCACCGGACCCTCTGTGCCTAGTAATGTACAGCTGCAGCGTGAACGTGGGCGTTAATGCCTCTACTGGGAATTAGGCTTGTTTATGAACACAGAACGTCACAAAACGATGACTTAAAAATAATAGCGAATACAGAAAATAGTGTAATGACTGAAAGACAGTTACAATAAAGGATTATTTTTAAATGGTAGCTTTTAAAAAGGATCTTTTAGCTCACTTTCTATACATTCATTAAGAATGGTTTTAAAAAGACAATATAACTTCTAAATTTTCAAGGTTTATGCTACCTTGTATGTTATACTAGAATATCAGTATTATTTATCCAATTCATAAAACTGGTTGGTTTACCAATGGGCAGCTTCTATGTGTCAGCTTTAACCTACACATACATGTGTAGGTCTCAACTCTGTATTTAATGCTACTTAGTAGAAGGAAAAGATAAAGCACATATGGCAGGTAATTACTTATGATTATAATCAAATATAGCAAAAGGCCTCAACAACGATTTAGGTAAAATCTCACGATCTCACTATCCTGAAATACCTTCAAAGCAAATCAGAAATAGGCCCTTCTTCATTACTTGATCAGATTCCCAGGGCATAAAGTATGAGTTAAGCAAGAGTCAGTCTTGTCATCGACTGTTTATTCTAATCACTGAGTACCTATCACGTAGTCAAGTCTCAGGTGAAGTGTTAGGAATACGAGGTAAGTAATACATAGTTTCTGGCCGCAGTGAGCACTGTTGTAAATGCTCATTAACTCCTTGTATAGAACAGAATAATCAGGTTAACATGCAATCATTGCCCTTATAGATAGCTTGTTAAAGAAAATATAGAGTAACACAAAACTGTATTTGGCAATTCTAAAGTAAATTTGGTTAGCGAAACCAATGGAAAAAAATTTGATTAGCTAATACCTTGATGCAGATACAAAGATTTTGCAAGTTTCAGCTATGTGTTATACTCATAAAGCATATTCAAAAACTATTTCACAATAAATAATTCAATTGTGATTTTCATAAAAGTCTGACTACTGAAAAAAACTTGATTCAATTAATTCCCGGTAAGTTACCTCTACCCCCAAATTTCTTGTTTTGTAAGTAACCTCTGAGAACAGTTTGAAACATCCTGTCAACAACGTGGCTGTATTATCAAAGAACTTTTGACCTATTATCAAATGGCTTAAAATTTTCAAAATTTAGATCCTGACATTTTACTGGAAGAATCACAATCGAGAAGAATAGAATTAAAAGCTTTTCCTTAAGTCAAGAAAATGATGAGAATCATCTTCTAGGGAACTCTACTGATGAACTGGATAAAACTTTGATTTCCACAGGAAAAAGAGACATATTTAAGGCACAAACCTACATTTACAAAACCAATCTGGTTTTGGCAAGAAAATGAAGGCTGACTGTTCTACATGAGTAAGTTAGACAGGGGCAGTATGGCGCACTTTGGAGCTTTAAAAGAAAACATAAACCTTTGAAAAAGCAGTTGTCTGTCACATAATTACTTATGTAATAGTAGTCTGGAAACTGCGAAGACTGAATTTTCTTTATCATAATACAGGAAGTTCTGAAATGATCAATTCACTTTACCTTTCAACCTTTTCAAGTAAACTGGAACGTCACTCTTAATACTCTTGGAATCCTCTTCCGCTCTTTCCCAGACCATCTGCGGAGGGTTGTTCTGGGCTAGCCAGTCCGCTACTTTGTTTTCCGGCGCCATCATTCCGGTCTGAATCCCCGGCAGGTCTTGAGTTCCAGGAGAAGACTTCTTGGACTTGTGGCGCTGCTCAGAAGTAAATTTTGTCACGTGGTCTCTGATAGTCACCTTCCCTGGGGTACTGTCATCAAATTCAATGGTAAAGGAAGCATGCCCTGCGCCTGTCGTATGGGAACTCGTGTCTTTTGTTGGGATTTCATGAATGGTGCTTTCAGTTAATTGTGGTGGCTGCTGAAATTCTTTCGTAGGGATTTCAAAATAACTTGGTTCCCTACAGAAAGGAAAAAGGACTTCTTCATTTGCAGCTGCAGATTGTTCCTCCACTTGCTTGGCATCTAAACTGCACCCTAATGAGAAAAATAAGAGAAAATTCAAAACACTTGGGAACTTCCAGCATTTGAGGGAGTACAGTAACAGCCATTTGTATTTCAAGAGAACCAGAAGTCAGATCAGAGTCTGGATGAAAAACAAGGGCAAATGTTGCAAAGAGGAAATCATTTTGGTTGTAAACATGGCATGCGGTTACCAACAGGAGATGCTACGTAAGCAGCAGCAGTGGTAAGGATGGCAAAGCGGGCAAGAGATGGATCTGGAATGACTAGGGCCATGCTTTTCCCGACTTGGATCTAGAAATCATTGAGGTGCAAAAGAACTGAAATCAAATGTAGATGAAGATGCATGTTCAATGTATATATTATATATCTCAAGTGACGGAAAAAAGAGCCATGTCCCTATCAAGTAAGGACAATGAGCCGAAACGTCTGTGAACACAAGCAGTGCTCCCAAGGAGAACGCGTGTTCACGCGAGGAAACAGACGTGAAGTCAGTATGTAAGCAATGTGCCAGAAGTTATGGTTCCACTTCCCATTCTTTACCATTACATCCAGAACCATTACTTTCAGAATGACCAAATAACATACTGATGTGTGACTCTTGCAGGAAGATACATTTTATAAAGAATGAAAGAATGTTTAAGACAAAACATGCGGTTTGCTTGCAGCATTGCAATCCGAGCAGCGGTGTGAAAAAAATAAGGTAAAAGTAGAAATTCAGATGCCAGCCATTAATTGCAGAAGAAAGTATACACTTTTCTATATAACAGAATATACACAAGTGTCAAAAACCTGTGGAGCAAATCTGAGCTGTAAATCTCAGATCAACAACAAGAGTGGGCGGAAGAGGCAAACAATTCTGGAACACTATCATTATTCCTCTGTTGCCCCAGAAACGAATATAAAGGTATAAAAAGAAACACACTTATACATAAAACATGTAAAGGTATAGAAGTGAAAATGGTAACTGAAATGTTTTAAGTATGTGTTATTAGAAGTGCAAGTGCAAAATATATGTACATAACAAGATTAAACTGCCCTGTGTTTCAGGGAGAAATGACCATGTCTATTATCAAGATGGTAAAGAGTGAGTTCAAGTGAAAACTATTTCCTGAAAGCTCAAAAAGCATTCCTTTTAAAAATAAATTCCTATTGAAACCACTCGCAGGTCATTTATTAGGAAGAAGGAGCAATATAGGGATGCAAAGTTGTCTCCAATCGTTTTCTAATTGAGTGACGTATGTTCTTTTTGAGTCATCTTTTTGCGTGTTAAATCTCGATGGGACTCTTCAGGGGCTGTGACTGACTTCTTGGCAGTGCTCTGAATGCAAAGCAATCACAACGCTGTTTGCGTTTAGGTCCCGGGAAAGCAGGAGAGCAACGTGCTGTAATCAGATGTGCGGGGAGGGGAGAGACAACACCAAGCTTCATTCCAAAAAAAAAAGCAAACAAAATCTATGCAGAAGATAAAAATATCTAACAGAAACAATTTCCCATGTAAAAATGATCCTTTTCAAAATTGACTTAGTTTTTTCACCACTGAAAATGAACAAAAATTATATCAGGAAGAACTTTGCATTATCAGGGCAAATATTTTATGTGCTATTTGAGAGGTTACACAAGAATCTTAATAATTTTAAGTCACATTTAAAAATTTTCTTTATCAGAAAGTTCATTGATCTTTATTGCAGTAATAAAATGTCCACTTGGATTTCAGTGTTTACTCTGCAGGCCCGTCGCTTAAAATTTCTGGAAGAGTAAAATGCATTAAGCACTCCCCCTCTAGTAATAAACTCATTAGTAAGTGTTTCTTTTCACTTTTTCATACAGTGACTGGTTTACTACGTACAATGTGCTGTACTCGATCAATTCCGTACAGTTCGGTTGGTTTGTAAACCGCACTGACAGCACATACACCCATTCATTCACTCATTCATTCGCTGCTTTGCTCATCCTTCCAATAACAAAATGCTAGTGACGAGGAGGCAGCTTTCTACCAGCACCATCTGGATCCCCTATATAATGATGGGGAGGAACGACTTAGCAAAAACCAGAAGAAGCTCATCCAGGGACATATAATTTATCATCCACTTGCCACTCGGCATTCAAAGAAATAGTCTCCTCCTTTGGTAATGGAAAGCTCCCAGTTCATACTAACTGATGTTCGACAAATTTTCACATCATTACAGCAGACATCAACGAGTGCCCACCACTGCGGTCCTTTTAAGGTAGTCCTGCTTCAAAATGGCCTTTTCTCCACGGACTAGGAGCCTCAGGCTTATACAAGTCAACACCTGCTTTCCCCAGAACCAGTAATCTCACACTGCAAATGGCACAAGAGAGCGGGGCGGCAGCGTGTTAAGTTCTGATGGTGGTAACCAGGCAGCCTGGTTTAGTGAAAAGCAGGGACGAGCTTCAAATCAGACACGGCCTGTCTCCACCAGCCTTTACTTCTCATTTTCCTCACCGTAAAATGCAGAAACAGTAATATCTAGCCACAAGACTGCTGTGAATATTTAGTGAGGTAAGTATAACATGAGATAACGTTAAGTTACCCAGAACGAAGCCTGGCGCAAGTAGGCACACCACCAAATGTTTCTCTCTTGCCCTCCCCCGAATCTCTAACACGGCTGAAAATCAGAGAAACAAAAACCAGAAACCCCAAATTCAACTCTAAACAGACCAAGACAGATATGGCAACGCCTATTCTTTCCTATTTATGAACTTTACTAAAAAGGAAGTCCCTCTTGAGAACCTTTTTACTACTTACTCGAATGGCATGTGGCAAAGTGGAGGGTGGAGAAGTGAGGTCAAGGTCAGACATATTATGCAGGAGTAAGGGTCAGGTTATAGAGAGAGGTCTACAGCAATCAAGAGCAGAGGCACGGCTGGAAGACATACCGGTCCAGAACCACTCCCTGTACAAGGCTACAAAGGGGACTTCACGCTCCTCCAAGGATATCACTGTAACGTATCACAGTTCAATCCTCATCACTCAGCATTCATAATGATTCCAAGTGATAAAGTGACAATTTTAATTATATTCAGCCTTCTCTGCTTAGAAACGCAGTGATACGGGTAATTCATTTAATAGAAGTCCAGAAAATGGTTCAACTTTGTCAAAAAAATTGTCAGTTATAAAAGTTAAGTCCAGTCATCTGGAAAACTCATTATGGAAAGAAATTATTTCTCTGAAGATAAGAAAAACAGGTGAAGTGTGGGCCTACTATACTTGGGAAGTTTAGGCCTACTAGAAAAATTACTAGGGGTCTTCTAAATATAGAGAAATAAAACAACTCTCCTCTCTTAGAACGAAAGCAGAACACACTGGAATTTATGACTAACATTCATTTCTTTTCAAAATCTATTTTGTTTATGCTAAATTAAAATAAATAATATACGAATGCTTTATTTATACTAATATTTTATACTAATGTTATATTTATACCAATACTGTTATTAATCTAAATTCTAGACATTTAAAGCTTTGTAATAACTGATTATGTTAGAATTAATTATGTTTACCTAAACCAGAGCAATTGGTGATAATATCCTTAACTTCTTTTTCTTTTTTTTTTCAAGATCCACAATCTATGTATTGGTGTGAAGGTCAAACTTCTTTATTTCTTTCTTTAAAATTTTATTTAGTTATTTTTCAAGTACAGTTTTTTGTCTATTTCTCCCATCCCAGCCCCCCCCCCCCCATATCCTTAACTTCTTAAGGTATTTTATTAATATCCTTTACTTCTCAAAGTACTTTTTGATTGTGTGACCTTTCAGGGAAACTTGTACTACATATAATTCAGAAAAAAAAATGTTCCCTTCATTCTTCTGTACTAATTAAGTAGAATATTACACTAATTCAAATGTCACAGACTCTAAGTATAAAGGCTTATTCTATGTGAGATATCCATCCAACCCACTATATATAAGTACCTAAACTAAGACTGGTAAACCACTTCTGCTTAAAAGGAGTTACAACCTGTAAATTTTCAACTAAACATTTCATGAGACTAAAAATCAATATAACAGGGCCAAAAATCTCACCGCTGTGTACACCTTTTCAAAATGTACGCAACGCTAAGGCCTTCCATTGTAACCCAAATTAATGTGTAAACCCAGTTAGCGGGTAGAAGAGCACACCTGTAGCTAAAATGAGGACTAATTTTTCTCAACAGAACTCAAAATATTCACAGAATTTCAGGAGAACTTGATTGCTGATGCACAGATTTGCTTCCAGGGTTTTTTGGCTATTTGCTTAAGTCTGTAGAGATTCTGGATGCGTGGGGAACCTCAAAGAGGGACATCAGAAGTAACCAGGTGGTAGATATCCGATTATCTTTCCTGGGATGTTCACCCGTCATGATTAAGTACTGAGATTTTTACATTCCAAAAATTTGTAACCAAAAAGCAAATGTCATTCTGTTTTACCAAAAGAGTATGTTTAGAGAAGAAATAATTAAACTAATTATCTGTATTTCACAATCAGAAAGATTTCTTTTTTATGAAAACACCTTAATTTCGGAATGATGAAATGAAATGAACATTTAGTATATGTTTTCAAACTGATCCCACCGTTAGGGCTGGCATGATAAATTATTTCAGGTCAGTAAACTGTTTCCCTCGTCCTACATTTAAAAAAACTACACATGATAAATCAGAAACAATATCCTATACCTCCATGGGATAGTCTCACATAAGCGAGCAAGACTCATAATGCTCTTAATCAGCTGAATCTGCCAGAGAGCTTTAAGCTATTTAACACAAGATGCAAATCACTTAATTCCTTCTTACTCAAAAATAATCCCAAGATTAGGAGACAGTTTCTGTCTTCTGGCAGAAATGATACTCAATGAGAGGCAGGATGAGCTAATGATCATTTAAGAATTTAGTTTCATTCACAAACTGGATGCTTCACAGTTTCAAATGGACTTTATTATGCTGAGATACGATCAAGTTTTCAAGCCAATTTAATTTTGGAGTGTTTGTTTAAATCTTTGTTCTCTATGAAGTGTATCTTTTTTTGAGTGTGTGTGTGTGTGTGTGTGTGTGTACAAGTATGTGTAATGGCTGCTAAAGGTTAACTGCTTGGGGTTAAGAGCTGGACTCTGGAGTTAAGCTGTCCAGGTTCAAATCCCAGCTATACTACTTGCCAGCTGGTAAGTAAATTCACATCATGCCCCTCAGTTTCCTTACCTATAAAATGAGGAAAATAATGCTACCTTTAGGTGCTGCTTTGAGAATCAGATGACGAAACACGTGTAAAGGATTGTGAAGGGTGTCTGGGTAGCAAGGACCACTGAAGTGTTAGCGACTGTCAATCAATCACAGTTCCGTCTCCAGGAGAAAAATCACATATACACTTCATTCGAAAGTTTTGTGTGTGGGGGGGAGGAGTGGATTTTTAATGCTGAGATAAAAATCATTACCACAATTAGTTTCAGAATCGGGCAAGTGAGACTATACTCCCTGTTTTCTTTTCAATTACCCACCTAATAATTTTCCCCTTCTCTCTACTAGGAGGCTCTAGTGCGCAGTGACGATATGTGATTTGTGAAGTGAGGCACTTGAGTTTACACAGGAAGGCACATGCACAAAACACTGAATCAAACTTTTCCACATTAGCGATGCATAGACCCAGATATATTATTTAGATTACTGGATCACCTGACATATGTGCATATATATCTGGGAGAAAAGTAGGCAGGAATTACAGTGTAATTTATGGGGGAAGGCATCGGTGAACAGTACTAAAAAGAATTAGTAGCGGGACATACAGGATCTCTCAGGAAAGTAGGACAACATTAGAACTCTGATATAAAATTTATTTGGCAGGCAAAAGGCAGCCACTGTAGCTGTTTTTAATGAAAATAACAGCTAAAATATATGATGCAAAATGAACTGCATGAGGGTGAAACTGGAAGTAGGAAGCTCACCTATGAATTAGTGGGGAAAAGGCGACAGAGGCAGGTAATGTATTAGGTGAGGAGAAGGGAAGACAATGAGGATTTCCAACGAAGCAGACATTCCTGATTGCCTCCCAATACCCACGTCCTGTGCCATGCTCCCACAGAACCCCAATATTCCCGGGGATCTACTCTTCCCTGACACACCTCATGTGCCTTAGGGCGAAACTAACCCCACATTCAGCTTCCCAGGGGCCCAGACTGGCTGAAGGATAGTCCATAACCCTTGCCAGGGACTGGTTCAGAAATAAGCAGGTGACCTACTCCTGGGCCTGTGAGAGTCCTATGAGACGAGAGGTGTTGGAAACTTTTGGGAAAGTTCTTCTTCCAACTGCTGGGGGTCTTTGGGAAGCAACCTTTGCTATTTTCCGCTGGCTGTGATCTAAGTGGCACAGAACCCTGACAGCTGCTGGCAGGCAGCCTATGTACGTGAGGGGCCACTCCCCAGTATGCAGCCACGGTGGACAGAAGGGCTGAGAGACCAGGAGAGACTAGCTAGCTAATGTTCCTGTTGAGATGTTGCATTAACCACCACTGAAGAGATTCAATTACATAAGTCAGTAATGCCTTTCCTGTCTAGTCTTAGGAAGCATTTTTGCTATTTGCTCCTGAGGGTGTGCTCCTTAATAGTACCTTTCTGAGCTTGAGAATGAAGAAAACTGTGCTCATCTTAGAAATGAGGAAGCTGTGATGGGAATTCATTTGCAAAGTTGATTAATTTCAGTTTAGGGCGCTGTACAGTCAAGTTGATAAAGCCAGCTTTCTGAAATGTGTCATGGAAAAATTAGAGCACATTTAAAGAACCAGTGGTCTTATTCTCCAGCTAAACAAAAAGGTCTTATTCCTCTTGTAGAACTAGGGTCAAAGGTAGAAAATTGAGGGGTATTCTGATGGAATTTACCCTTGACTCAGAGTCAGAGCTGGTTTCCCACACTGCTCCCTGGGGCCTGTGTTTAATTCCTCCAGTTCTGGGTTCTTATCTGCTGTTACCACCGACTCAGCCTGCTCCAGCCTTTGTGTTTATGTCTTTGTTAAGTCCTCATCTGACTGACAATTTACACTGCCATTTACTTCCTGAAAATCTTGCTTGGCTGGCTTATGGACACTTAGCTCTAATATTACTATACCAACTTCTATACCCAGTGTCCATTAGTAGATGAGTAGATAAAATAACTATGGTACATGTACACAATGCAATAGTACAAGGCCATAAGAAAGAAAAAAAATGTTACCCTTTGCACCAGTACAGAGAAATACGGAGAACATTATGCTAAGTGAAATAAGCCAGTGAGAGAAAAACAAATACCATATGATTATACCTATATGTAGACTCTAATGAACAAACTAAACTAAATAAAGACAGACTCATAGGTGGAGAGCGGGCTGACAGCTCCAGAGAATGTGGGTTTTGGAGGCAGAGGGATCGAGCAAAAAAGGAAAAGGACTCATGGACATGGACACCCGGTGGGGATTACAGTGGGGGGGTGGTGAGTGGAGGTGGAAGACAGTATAAGGGAGATAAATGGGAATAGAAAAAGTAAAATAACAATGAACTATTAAAAAATAAAATTAAAATACACTTGTATCTTTGTGAATGTAATGAAAACACACCAAGTTAGTTCTATCTCCTATTTTGGTCCAATGGAAACATTTAAAACTTTTATTTTAAAATACTTATAATGTACAATTACATTATTATGTTTCCTGTTTTAACGATCTCATAAAGAAGCTGAAAAATATTTTTAAGTTATTTATAAAGATACTGGGACTAATAACTTATGTGAGAATCAATCAGAATAAGTGCATTTAAATGAAAATGTCAATGCTATTAAAACATCCCTGACTATTTTTTAAAACCAGATTAAAGAGTAGTAGATATCACTTTTAAGGGTACACAGGTTTTTTGCTTCATGATAAATTCTTCCCCAAGTATCCCCTAATCTCATAATCTTAGATTCTTTTACCTGCTGTTCCGGCTTCATGATTCTTTTCTTCTGCTTTGCCGTTTGACTTGAAAGCTCTTTTTTCATCCACCTCACCATCCCCCCACCACGCAGGCTGCCCATATAACGGAGTGCCACGGGGCATGGCAGAAGTATCTGGAAAGAGGCGGGAAAAATCTATCTAAAGCTTATGAAACAGAAAAAATACGTGCTTCTGCAGAACACTAGAACTGCCTAGTTGATCTGTTAAATAAAAAACAGGATAGTCTAGGTAGCTGAAAAGTACTTCAAAAACTCAGTATTTGTGTACGACCTTACTCAATGTTGGACATGACCAAATAAATAAAACTTTGTACTTGCTGGTGTCAAAGTGATGAAACTGCTATAAGCCCAGTAACTTTTGACAGCAGTAGAATCAGTTCTTTGATAGATAGAAATGACTCATTAAATCTGAATATGAAGATTAAATTTTGGTACGATCGGCCATTTAAAAAAAATGTTTAAAGCCGTAAGGCATTACAGAGGAACTAAATTTAAACTAGCTGTTAACAGGATGAATAGATTTACATTTGAACAAATTTGATAATGTCTAGCAGTTTAAAAATTGTTTTTGCATGAATAGAATAATCTATAGGAAGCATTTTTTTTACAGTTTCTGGTGTAAAGATATTCTGGAACATGATAAATATGATAATTATGATGACATAGCACCATGGATATTTCCTACTGATTCATTTCAGTTATTACAATTCAGAAGAGAAAGCAAACAAGCATGAATTAGTAAAAATACTATAAGGAAAGCTATATTTAGTTCCCTTAAATATTAAAACATTAGCCCTGGCTGGTGTAGCTCAGTGTATTAAACACAGTGGGCCTGTGAACCAAAGGTCATCAGTTCCATTCCCAGTCAGGGCACATGCCTGGGTTGTGGGCCAGGCCCCCAGTAGGGGGCGTGCAAGAGGCAACCACACATTGATGTTTCTCTCTTCCCTTTCTTCTTCCCTTCCCCTCTCTCTAAAAATAAATAAATAAAATCTTTAAAAAAACTTTAAAAAATACTGAAATATTAAACACACATACAAATGCCATATAATGTGTTTTATATTGCTTTGCGGCATAAAACACTGTGTGCATTAAAACCCACTCTGCAATTGTCGTTATCATTAGTACAGTGATTTGCACATGAGCATGGCCAAGTTTTGAGAACAGAGCCTGCCACTCCCTCACAATCAGGTGTAAAGATATTTTCCATGAGGTTACCGTACCCGCAGCCTTCTCCTCTGACTTCGGTGCCTCTGGTGCTTTGTGCTGTACTTCGGGTGCAGACTCTGCTCCCTTTGAGTCCATGCTCTTGGCACATGCAGACTTTGACAATTCTGGTTCTGTAGATTTCTGGGACAACTGGAGTTGAATGGTAAACTTCTCATGCTAGAAAATATTTAAGTGAAATATCCAGGAGTGAAATCAACCCTAGCAAATGGTAGATTTATGAAAGAAATAAGGAAAAACTCTTTTACCTTTAGGGCCTCTTCAGGGACCCTCATCTCTCCTCGTACTACAGTGAAAAGATTTGTATGTGAACAGGGGCTAAGGAAGAATATAATTTCAAAATTGTAGAAGTATAATCAGGTCATCAGCGCAGAATTATTATATTCCCCTAAGAGTTCAATGTTAAACTATGCTCACAAATATTAAATTTTTCGTTTTTAAATACCAAAGAAAATCTGGAAGTCTGGCGAGTAATTCTAAACTTAGGTAATAATGGCCTTCGAGTGAGTCACTGGATCAATAATCAGAGCACAAAAGACATTTTCAGTTCAATAATATGATTACAAAAAAGAAAAGGCACCTGGATCAAATTATATTGATAGGTAATTATAAAAATGTGAAAGGAAGTAGCTCATCGGTGATTACCCATCAGTAAACCCTGGAGGAATTCGATGACTCAGACTCCATCAGCACTGATAAAAATAAAGTCTATGTGGAAAATTCTAAAGAAGGGCTGTAATTAGGGTGCTTACAGCAACCACCACCACCTCCTTACCCCGTGGAATTGCAATCAGGGTCGGCTTACATTATCAAACAACTGATTCCATACAGATTAGAACCCAGTGCCAGATATAATGAGTGCTTTCATCATCATGCCAGAAAAGAACAATGCTTCTGTATATTAAAAAGCTCTCCCACTGAACAGCAGAGGTCACATTTCCCACCATTACTTAACCCCGCAATGAAAGGACTTTTATAACCATGTACTAAATTTGACTCTTTATCGATTCAGAGCACCCACGCCTTCAAGGGTAGAAAGCTGTAATTACCATGACCACTTGGGGAGATGGGGAGACTTCTCATGCCTAAGGAGCAGTACACTTGTAGAAGAGTATTTAACCTATATTTCTACTAATTAAAATAATAAAAACTCAGAATCTGGAGGGGGATTTTAAAGAGCTTTGGGGGAATATACTCTTCAATTCCATTAACCTGGCTTCCTATTTCATAGCTAAGGAAACTGAGGACCTGAAGGGCAGAACACAAAGATGATAATTTGCTCACCTGATTGCTTCCTACAGCTGTGAAATATTAAAAAGTTCCTTTTCTGTTATAAACATATGCTGGTATATATGCAAGTTTGTATTTCATTACTAAGTATATATTTAATGCAAAATAAAGGCAGAAACTGTCCCAAGAAACTCAATAACAGCTAGAGAAGATTTGTAACATTCTTACGTTTCCAATAGAAAACAGAGCATGTTTTAAAAACTGAAAGCCATCTATTTTTTCAATGGAAACACGTGATTTTAGCCAGCCATGAGGGTTTTCTGGTGCTGGCAGTCAACTCCTGAGCGACCCTGAAGACGATCCCCAGAGGCTAATACGGGGTGTCGACTTTAGACCGACACTCTTTAAGATCAGGGGACACTTGGGACAGACAGTTCATACACTTCACCTACCGAAAAGGTTCCTGTGCGTGGAACTTCCAAAGAAATCAAGAATCCTCTTGTTTAGTTCATAGACTGACCTGAGAACTCTGGTACGACTATGAGAATTTGAGGCTGCCCTGGCCCCAGGTTTTATTCCCCAAACTGCCATCTCTTTAGAAATCTAAGTGACTGTCTGGCTAATTAAGAAACATGACAAACTAAAGTACAATTATTCACGATATGTCAATAAGTTACAAATTATACAACAGTAGTATTTATTATAGTCATGTCAATCAAGTCTAAATTTTGTTTAAAAAGATTTTTATTTATTTATCTTTAGAGGGGAAGGGAAGGAGAGAGGGAGAGAAATATCAATGTGTGGTTGCCTCTTGTGTGTCCCCCGCTGGGAACTGACCTGCAACCCAGGCACGTGCCCTGACTGGGAATCAAACTGCGAAACTTAGGTTCGCAGGCCCGTACTCAATCCACTGAGCTACACCAGCCAGGGCTCATCTGAATTTTTAAAAATAAAAAGTTTAAATTCTTGATTAGTAACAATCGTATTATTTATAGGCTATTTTTCTGTTTCTTTACATTAAGACTATGATTGTTATTCTAAGTCATTACTATGCTCAATTTATTCAGGAAATGTTTATCTAAAATTTGGAACTCATCTACATACTAGTAATGTGTTCTTGACATCATTCTTTATCTTAATGATAATCAAGAGTAAAATTTTTAATAGTTTCCGTTACTCCTAGGGGTCTGGCTTTGAAACACCAGGTGTCAGACATCCTTGTGAGCACATCTTTCCAAAATTACTTTAAAAATCAATTCGGTAAATTGCTTCACTGGGGAAATACCAATCACAGAAGAAATGAGGAAGAAATTTAAAATTTTCCAAATATTATATGAGATTTTGTTACTTGGGACAAGATTTCCAATGTTCCAGAAAGTGCTGTATTCTCAAATTGAGGTAGGTAGTAATATTCCCTTAAAAACTGTATTACTAAAATATGTGACACAGTTTTGAAGACAATGATAAAAATATTTTAATACAATTATTTTATACAATGGAAGAATGGGAGGAAGGCACTTTATAAAATTTATATATTTCTGTGTTATTTCAAAACATATTCGTGAGGTTATTTTTTTTAATTTACCCTAAAGTTAGCCCCCAACTTTCCTTTTTGACTATTCTCATTAGGGAAGTAAGAAATTTCCCTTATTTGATGACATCTGCTAATGAAATATACAATAATGCTTCATTCGAGTCCACACTGTACTAAGATTCTAAGAGATGTCAAAGGTTTAAAAAAAAAAGCCATGGCAGAAAACCTCTCAAGGGAAAAATTTCAATCTATTAACTTCATTTTGCCCGTATCTTCAGACAAATGTGTCATTTTATTGTAGCAGAGGAATGCCTTGCTCAGCTTGTAGAAGACCCTGTTCTACGGGAACACAGTGTTTAAACAACTGAGTTTAACTTTTCCCTGGTGGCTTTGTGGCTCATCTCAATTTCTTCAATTTCGTTCTTTCATGCTTTGTAAATGTCCTTGAGTTTCAAAATTTGAAAAATGGGCTTTTGTCTTGCGGTGGATGTCCACCACACTAATCAGGGGAAATCTTCACTTCTCGGCACGAAGAGCACATTTTTCATTATGTTTAAATCATCTCATCTTGCAGCCCAAACAGTGTCCCAAGTACGGATAAGTCATAATCACTACCCCAGACGACCACCATAAGCTATGAGAATGATTGTTACCATGTTTCTGTTATGACAACCCAACCATGTGTGTCCACTGTGCCAGGAGTAGCCAAGTTTGGGAAAAGATAACTCCATTTTTAAACATAATATGTAATTATATGCATAACAAAATCTCTTATAAAATCCCATATGACTGGGATGGGGAGGAGTGAGAACTAAGGTGTTTAAGTGGTGTTTGAATCGTTGCCCACTGAACGCAGAAACCACACGAGACTCCGAGGCTCCTGCCAGGTCCCAGTGGTTCCTTGTTGCCCTTTATCCTGGTACTGGCTCCCCATCTCTTCTGCCTCTTAACCACAGAATGTAACATTTCTTAGTATTTGGACTTTCTACCAATCTATATTCAATTCCCTGGTGATCTTACTTGGTCTCCAGGTTTTAAATATTATTTATATAATGAAAATCCCCAAATATCTCTCTCTTCACTATACCTCTCCCCTGCATTCCACCTGTATGTCCAAAATGTCCAAACTCCACTTGTCAGATGTCTTCAGACCCCAGATTTACCCTCCCACTTTAAAATAACAAAAATGTGGACAAAATATATGCAGTTTCTAAGACAAGCAACATCAAGCAACAAAAGAAGCGATTCCTGAACGAAGAGAAACAGATCAAGCTGAGCCCAGGCACTACCCCAGCTCCCTGCCCTAAGACAGCTTCCAGGTCACGCTGTGAAGGGGAGTAATCCTGGCCGGTGGGCGCCCTGGAGGCACTGGGTTGAGAGCATGCAGAGACCAAGGTGACCACAGTTCAAGGGACTGAGTGCTGAAGAGAAGAGAGCTGCAGGGACAGAACCGCAGGCATTGTCCAAGGGTCCTGCTCAAGTGTGCAGCTGAGGTCCCGTCAGCACATCCGTGAGAGCAAGAACCACCTGGAAGTATGAAAAGTAACAGCACTTCAGGGCTTGCACAGAGCCAGGAACAGGGTCTGCTCCCAGCAGCCAGGCTGGAAAACCGCATGAATCGTGAATCACTAGACAAAGCGTGGGTCTGTCCATTTTTTCTGTAAAGGGCCAGAAAGTAAGTATTTTAGGTTTCTTAGGGAAATATGATCTCTTCTGCAACCACTCAACTCTGCTGGGTAGTGCAAAAGCAGCCACAGAAATATGTAAATGAGTGGGTGTGGCTGTGCCCCACACAACTTTCTCTACAAATACAGGCTGAGGGCCAGACTTGCCCGAGGGCTTGCTGAGTACACCAGGTGCTATGGTCGAGTACACAGAAAGGTCTTGCCTCTGTAGTGGGGACTAACTAGTTTGGACTGATCTTAGAAGCCTAATAAATCTTAAAAGCAAGGCCCAAAGTGATAAAATATTTCCAAGTAACCTCTGCTTCAAAACAAAGCTCAAAAATGTTAATAGAAATACAAAAATAACTTCTGGCCAAGATGGAGGCATAGGTGGAAACACTGTGCCTCCTCGCACAAGCCAGTTTAAACACAACAAAATTTTAGTAACAAAAACACTACCAAAATGGACAGAAAATTGAACTGTACGGAAGTCTGACAACAACGAACCATTCACCCAGACTGGCAAGAGGGGCAGAGTCAGCGGGTCTCGCAGGAAAAAGCGGCTGGACTGACCTAGGTGCGCAGGCGGCGGCTGGCAGATCCCAGGTGTGGGGTGGCAACCGGCAGACCCAGTGAGGGTGCAAGGCGGCTGCCTGACCGTGGTCACACATTCACATTCAGATAAACCAGGCAAAGGAGTGAGCAGTGAGACAGACCGTACAAACCAGGGCCCCAGTGATGGGAATTAAAGCTTAAAAGCACCAATGGAAAAACTTTCGGCAGTCGAGGTGCCAGGAGAAGCTCCCAGGCTCACAGAGAGTTCACTGGACAGACCCACAGGGTCCTTGGAGGGTGTACAGGCCCACTGGGGAACTAGTATCAGAAGGGCCCAATTTGCTTGCGGGAAGCAGCAGAGGGGACCAAAATCCAAGAGACAGCAGAACAGACACCTTTGCCCCTCTCTGACCCCACCCCCACATACAGCGTCAAACCCAGTGACTGAGTCGCCCCACCCTGGTGAACACCGCTCCGCCCCTCATATGTAACAGGCACAAACAGACCAAAACATTATGGCTCAAGAAGAACAGCTCGAAGCCCCAGAGCCAATACTTCTAAGCGACCAAGAGATAGCCAACCTATCAGATGCACAGTTCAAAACACTAGTGATCAGGATGCTCACAGAACTGGTTGATTTCAGTCACAAATTAGAGGAACATATGAAGGCTAAACTAAGTGAAATGAAGGGAAATGCACAGGGAACCAATAGTAATGGAAAGGAAACTGGGACTCAAATCAAGGGAGCAGACCAGAAGAAAGAAAAAAAATGACCAAACAGAAAAGGATGAAGAAATAAGAATTCAAAAAAATGAGGAGAGGCTTAGGAACCTCCAGAACATCTTTAAACGTTGCAACATCCGAATTATAGGGGCACCAGAAGGGGAAGAGGAACAGCCTCAAGTGGAAAACTTATTTGAACAAATAATAAAGGAGAACTTCCCCAATCTGGCAAAGGAAATAGACTTCCAAGAAATCCAGGAAGCTCAGAGAGTCCCAAAAACGGTGAACCCAAGGAGGAACACACCAAGGCACATCATAATTACACTAGCCAAGATTAAAATGAAGGAGAGAATCCTAGAAGCAGCAAGAGATAAGGGGACAGTCACCTACAAAGGAGTCCCCATCAGACTGTCAGCGGATTTCTCAAAAGAGACCTTACAAGCAAGAAGGGGCTGGAAAGAAATATTCCAAGTCATGAAATCCAAAGACCTACAACCAAGATTGCTCTATCCAGCAAAGCTTTCATTTAGAATGGAAGGGCAGATAAAGTGCTTCTCAGATAAGATCAAATTCAAGGAGTTCATCATCACCAAACCCTTATTATATGAAAGTTAAAGGGACTTATCTAAAAAAAAGAAGATAAAAAATATGAACAGTGAAAGGACAGCCAACTCACAGTTATTAACAACCACACCTTAAACAAAAGCAAACTAAGAGGACAGCTAGATCAGGAGCAGAACCATAGAAATGGAGATCACATGGAGGGTTAGCAACAGGGGAGTGGGAGGAGAAGAAGGGAGAAGGAGAATAAGTAGTGAGTGATAGAGAGAAGGTACAGAAAATAAGTAGCATAGACAGTAGGTAGAAAACATGGGGGGAGGGCAAGAATAGTATGGGAAATATAGAATCTAAAGAACTTGTGACACATGAACATAAACTAAAGGGGGGGAATAATGGGGGAGGGGGTGTGTAGGTGGAGGGGAATGAAGGGGGGAATGGCACAACTGTAATGGCATAATCAATAAAATACTTTAAAAATTATAAAATAAAAAGGATATTCAGCCATGAAAAAAAAGAAATACAAAAATACACATGCAATACTCAACCAGGTAAAATGCACAATGTCTGCCATCCAATCAAAAGGAATACAGAACTGACACACAGATGTTAACAAAGATATTAAAATTATCATAACCATATTCTTATGTTCAGAAAGTTAAGTAGACACCTAAAGACACAGCAATAATAACAATCTAAATTGAAACAAAGAGAACAGATAATTAAAAAATAAACAAAGCATAAGATGGGAGATGACTTTGAGTAGCCTATTTTAATATACATTTAATTCAAGTTCTTGAAGGAAGAAAGTAAGGACAGAAAAAAACGATTTGAAAAAATAATGGCAGAAAAATCTTTCTAAATTTGATTAAAACTATGAAACTACAGATTCAAGAAGTTGGACAAACCCAAAGCACGAAAGTATGAACACCACCCAGGGACGTCATAAGCAAATGGTTCAAAATCATGGATACAGGGAAACAGTACAAGCAAGAATACCGTGGAACAATATCTTAAAAGTGCAGAAAGAAAAGAAATGTCCCCTCGAACTCTAAACCCAGCAGTAACAACCACCAGGACCTGAGGTGAAATACTTTTCTAGACAGCTGAAAGAATACACCAGCCAAAGTATATTACAAGAAATGTGAGGCAGAAAGAAAATGATACTGGATGAAAATATGAATCTATAAAAACGAAGAATGTGAGAAAAGGTAGCTACCCTGGTTTAAGATAGGAGTACAAAAAAGCATAAAAACACAAGCTTCTTCTTATCGGTTAAATCTCTTTGAAAGACACCTGACTTTTCCCTAAAGACTCTGGAGCGACAAACCGGTTCTGCTTCAAGCCCTTTGCCCTGATCTCTTCTATCAGCCGGAAAAGCAATTTCTTCAGATACCCTGTGGCCAGCACATTCACTTTCTCCCGGTCTCTGCCCTAATACTGGCTTCTCAGAGAGGTCTTCACGAATGTCCCTTTTAAAATGGTAACTCTGCACCCACCCCCGCCAGTTCTCTGGATCCTTCACTCAGTTTTTCTCCATAAAACTTCTCACCCCCTCAATTACCCTTCTGTGTGTATGTGATCAGTTCTCTCCAATCCATTCAGTGTAAACTGCAGGAGGCCAGAGGCTGTGGTCTGTTTTACTCACTACCGCATCCCCAGACTGTGGGGACGGGCTTTGCCTGGCATAGAGGAGATATTTAATTTAAAAATTTGAAATGAATGAATGTAAGCTTTCTTATCTGCTACATTTCTGGCCACTTGGAGATTTATGAGCTCTTTTTGAAGTTTATCTTCATTACTGCAGCATTTTACTATCCCTCCTGAGTGTACAGCCATTTCTTAAAGTTGGATATTTCACTACTTGCTTTCCCAAATACTGAATTACTCTAGTAGAAAAAGTATTTTTGGCAGATAAGCTTTGTTTCTTAGTTCTAGTCCCAATTTATGGTAAAATGTTCTTTCAATTGCTGTAGCATTTTTAGAGTAGTTTCCCACTCCAAGGTATAACAATTTGTACACTGGCTAATTATTATGTCTAATTTTCATATAAAGCACTTCAGTTTGGGACAGCTAAATACAGAACAAGTAAAGGTAATATATAACTTATTTTGTAAAATTCATCCTAATAAAATTTCTGCCACCGTAACATCCAATGTTCATTTATACCAAGTGCTCAAAACTCATTAGCAACATGAAATACTATTTTTTAAAAGATTTTATTTCTTTTTAGACAAAGGGGAAGGGAGGAAGAAAGAGGGAGAGAAACATCAATGTGTGGCCACCTCTCGTGCGCCCCCTACTGGTGACCTGGCCAGCGACCCAGGCATGTGCCCTGATCTGGGAATTGCCCAGTGGCCCTTTGGTTTGCAGACTGGCACTCAATCCACTGAGCCACACCACCCAGGGCTGGAATACTATTTTAAACTAATAAAATCAATTGAGCCTAATTTGAGGATTTGGTTTGTAGCTCTGGCTCAACACTGACTTCCAACCCTAAAAATGTCTTCTGGAACAAAACATTTCCCCAGAAATTTGAGTGTATATACTGTAAGAAGAAAATGGTAGTTCACAGTTAAGTAATGATTGTACAACCTGTGAGCCATAGGTTATATCTCAGTAGTTTCTTCTTAATTTAAAACTTGAAGCAAACTTTAAAGAATGTTATCAAAACCCAAATTTCTTACTATTTTCTCATGCTTTGAAATAGCTGGTGCCAAATGGATTAAGGAGGTAATTAGATACAAAGTATGTTTGCATTTGCTTTTTGATAAAATGTATTATGCTGGTGGAAAATGACCCGTGAATCAAGGTTTCAGTGCTAACTCTTAAATACTTTGTGTGATATATACCTAAAAAAGATTTAAACTATGCAACTCTAAAGTATTAATGTTTAATGGCTGCATTCACATGTTTCTTTGGTTCTACAATTATAACGGTTACATGATGTATTACAAAACTATTTTTTCATAAAGATTTAGGTTAAATATAAAATAAAAACTAGTTATGCTCTAAGAATGATTTTATGGTGTTAGTACATTTACTTTACCTAAGTATCCACTCTACTTATCTGAGGCTACATTTTCTCTGCTAATGATAAAAATCCGTCCAAGAAGCCAAGATGTTTAATGCATTCCTTAATCTCAAACTCTAGATAAATGTAGTAATTGAAAAAATTAAAGAATTTTCAGTATTATGTGGAATATTTGAATTTTAAACATAAGTAAGCCCTCTTTACAAAGCTTTTGCCTTGTAGAGACAGAAGTGTTTTATTCTTCTTCAGTCAATCATGTCCCTTCACTAGTGATTCTTCGCCCTACCGTAGGGAGTGGACCAGTGACATCCCTGTTCAGTTCTTAGAATCGCATTTTTAAATAGAAGATTTTAAAATAGAAAGTGTATTATGTACTTAATAAGGCAGCATGGGTCTTAGAATACATAGGATATTAAAAGTGTTGAGTTAAATAGGCAAAGAGATGAAATAACCAAAGTGGAATAAAAGTAGGAACAAAGGAAAGGCAGGGTTAACTTTGCACATTCCTCCTGGGAGGTTGGTGTGTGCCATTATCAAACATCCCCCGCCCCCCAAATTTCTCTGGGCTGAGCTAATATTAAACACTTTCCTCTCCTCTTCCCAGCTCCATTCTCTGATTTCCAAATTACATATGCTATAGCACTGCATGAGGACATTCTGCTAAAAATACATATTGGGGGCAGGGGGAGAAGCTAAGTCTACCAAGTCTTCCAGGATTATTTTTAGGAAGAGGCATAGTAACAAAAAATATTTATATATTATTTTTAAACATGCATTTTAGTATGGAAAAACAGAGAGATTTCTAGCATGCCTATATTGTGAATTTTTATGTCTCAAGAAATGTTAATGTACACTGGAGTAAAGATTTTTGAATAAATTTAATAAATGCACAAAACCATATAAGGATATCATATCCAAATCTCAGCTTATCTTCAAGTTTCAAGGTGATGTAAGTCTGCTCTGGGATCCTTACATCATTCACAAAAGTCTACAAGGGAAAAAAAAAAACAGATGTTAGGTAACTATGAAGTATTAATTATTCCATTTCAGATGAGCAAATCCTCCAAACTGATACATAAAAGTACATATCATATGGTGGCTAACACAGGTTGTGCCTCATAAAATGTGTCATGCGTCTTATACGCTGGCAAAACATCCCACACTGAGCCCTTTATCCTGTTACTAGTAATGCACAGAGAGCCAGGCTGCAGTTCCTCCGGGTCCCCCACGCGGCCAAGGCCAATCCAGGCACCTCACCACACTGCCAAGAAGAGCTGCCAGTCTGCGGCTGGCAGACTGTGAAGGGCACCTAACTCTCGGTATCACCAGAATGTACCGAACTCAAGGTAGCTTTTTGGGGCAATTCAAATTATTTCTTAGAGTTGCTATTTCATTACTTTTATTCTTCGAGTTTTTCAAAAGAACAATAATACTTTGAAAAAACTGAATAAAACCCATTCTATTTTATAATTACGATGATTTCTTTGGACCCTTTATGAAATTTTACTTTTTTTCCCGGTACTTTTCAAAAAAGTACATTTCAAGGGCTCAACAGCCACATGTGGCTGGTGGCAACTGTAGTGCAAAGCACAGACAGAGCAGGATGATGCAATCGTGAAACAAATCATCATTTATTGCACCAACCTTCAGTTTTCTTACTCCACTGCCCAAAATATTGCACCATCTTTTCAAGAAAATATAAAAAACATCTGGAGACGCTAACTGTCCTTTTTTTTATTGGTTTGTTTAGCTATCAACTGAGATTCAGAATTTTTCATTGGGCTGGTGAACATACAATACACTACACAGATGATGTGTTACAGAACCATGCACCCAACACCGACATAATTTTATTATAACCAGTATCACCCCAAAATATTCAATTATAAAAGCAAAAATAATTTTTTTCATTTAATTTCCATAAAGGAAAGGAGAACACAGGCAGAAAGATATTTCACAATTATAAGATGAAGTCAGAAAGACAGACAGCATCACTGCAGACCATAGTGACAATGATAAAACTGATGATAATGTAAGCAGCGTATCAGACAGTGAGTCTTCGCATGAAGATAATTCTAAGATGAATTTTCTCTAATGTAGGAATATCTCTAACTCAAGAAGACAGAATGTTTCAAAGACAAAAGATTTTGAGTACTTTTCATCCAGTTAGCCATTCAAGAAGAATCATGTAATATTTTTCAACAAAAACCTAACCTAAACCATCATGTATTTTAAAAAAAACTTTTTGAGCGGATTCTTTCTCCATTTTTGATGCTCAAAAGCTCAAATTCCAACACTTATTTGATTTAGTTTGAAAGTACTAAACAAATGCTTAAGGAAGGCATTTATACAAAGGTTAGATCATAAGCATCAAAAAATTTTTAAAATCCATTCAAAAGCTTTTTACATACATTATGGTTTAGGTTACTTTTGTTGAAAAACACTGCATGATTCTTTTAAATGTTGCTTATAAATCTAAAACTAAGAACATTTTTGCAATTACAAAAAAAAAGGTCACCCTCTTAATAAAATTTTAAGTTGCCACATGATACATTTTGACAATGCAAGAGCAAGAACTAGAAATAATGGTAAATGAGATACCAGCTAGAGATGTACCTGAAATCTGAATTTGAAATTCAACATTTATAAAATGAATATATCCCAGGAGAACACATGACAAGTGATGAGCAGTTCGTGGTACTCAAAGAACATAAACCATTTTATGTAGCATATACCTTTCAAAAGCAGAAAAATATGCAAAAAAATTGAGTTTGTCATGCCTAATGTTTTATTACAATTTCACGTTTTTCATTACCTTTTTATGCTTACTTCTTCAGATTATTTGTAAAGAGTCAAAGATCCCCTAGACACGGACAGCAAACAGTGATGACTACTATTTCCAGCCTGCTAGAAGTTCAAGACCTCCAATTTGCTAAATTTATACAACACGTGACAATGTCATACTTAATTGCCCAGAGTGCAGACATCATATAAAATACACAAGGTTTTCTTTGATAAGTTGAAACTTTAAAAATGACTTTACTCTTTCCCTTTGAATTCATTTTTCCACCTTCAATTTTATTGCACTTAGGATGTCCACAACATCTTACTTGGGGTGACTATGATACCTCAATGTTGGGGAGGTTTAGAAGGGTCTGGAGTGACACTCAGTAAAATATACTAAGGGGGTTATGTTATCATGTTCATATTCTCAAATACCTATGCATAACTGGCACTTCGTAATATGTCACAGATACTAGTTTCTAAGACTACAAAAAAATTAGGAGGAGTCGTATCAAGCACAGTCGTAACCTGGAGACAATGTAACACTGCTAAACCCAGGATCACACTTACTAGGGCTGGTTTGTGCGTGATCCTAAATCGTATGATCCGCCCTGCTTCACAGAAAGGTTGAAGTGTTAATGCAAAGAAAACGCGAAGGCTTCAGGCATTTAGAACTCTAATTTCAGGTTCATTTCCAACATGAGTATTTTAAAGTGCTTTAAAACTTTCATCTTGAGTTTGTCAAAATATTCTACATATAATTACAAAACAAAAAAGCTGAGGTAAATGATAGAAGAGAGAAGAATAGAAGAAAATATTAATTAATGTGTAGTGTGCAGAAGATAAACAATTAGGTACACTGTGTAAGAGGGATACCACAGTTCTAAGCCAATCTTATTTAGAACTGTCTCAACCTAAAATACTGTATTTATTTAAAGTGCTTAAAAATGACCTATAAGACCCATTTTAAAGCTTAAGATTGCTCATCTCTATTAAATATCAAGTACCTATTGTGTGTTTAACACATGGACTAGGTACTGCCAGAGATCAACAAACATACAATTTTAACATGCTGACCTTTAGGACAGAAATACCCCCCAAGGCCTACAGACTTAGGAAATATGAGCCAGATGCAAAGTTTCAGCTCACAAAAATGCAAGTGAAACCAGCTGCCAGAAAATAGTTTCCTGAAGGTCTAAAACTATAAAAGGAGGAGAGAAAACTTCAAAGAGCAACACATGCAAAAAATCATTTTATTACAGCAATTATAAAGCATCTGAGTAAACTAAATATGGAAAGAAAAAGAGGTCTTGTTTCTTCGTGGCGTTTGATCGGACCGCTACCTGGAAGGCAGGGCGGACAGGACTACGGCGCCCAGAGAGTAAAGTAACAGCCGAGACCTCCGGGTGCAGAAGAGAACGGGGGGTTCAAAGTCAGGTGTCTGAGCTACAAATGCCATGTTCTCTCCTCGCCAAGGAAGCCTGGGAGCCCAACCCAGAGCCCCAAACTCCCCCATGCAAACCACTAACCTCACAGAGGCGAACCCAACTAGATAAACACCTATTTAATTTCTATACCACTAAATTACATAATTGATAGTATGAAATCTTATAACCACCATGTAATATATTAATTTTCCTGGAAATCTGAATGGAGTGGCCGGGAGCACAACCACTTCAATCACACTGTCAGTGACAAATCTGCTCTTCTTCCCAGACAGTTCCTTTGCGTCTTCCACAGTCCATGCCACGCTGGTCTGATGCTGGCAGCAACTGCGGCGTGAAAGGGGGTCACGGCAGTGGCCGGAACACAGGGAGCTGAGGGGCAGCCCGGTAACAATGGGCGGAGCCGGAACGGATGTCAGGGGTACCGGAGGGCCCGGTGCTATCAGAGGGGCGAGTGCTCCAGTGGAGGGGGCAGCGGGAAGAATGGAAGGCAGATGAGGGTTCTCGGGGACAGAGGTGCCAGGGGCTGCTTCCCCAAGCAGAGCAACCTCATTTCCGGTGCCAGTAACACCAAGTGTAGCTGTAGGTCTCTTCGTGGACTTGAGGGTACAATGGAAGAGAGGAGTAGAAGTGGGAATAGGTAGAGTTATTGAAAAACTGAATTTAGTTGGTAAGTGCTTTTTAAGAAAAATACAACAGTGTATTTATGGGAAAGTACACAGGCTAGGCAAGGTGCTAAACTTGTTTTACCTGCTTTTCTTACCAAGAGGGCAACTAACACTTATGAATGCTTACTGTTAAAAGCACTTAAATGATTAACTTATCCATAACTTCACAACAATCTGGGAGGATTACCAGTTTACTATTTCTATTTTTAAAAAATCAAGGAGCAAAATGATTAAGTAACCTGTCTAGGGTTATATTACTTGTATGATTTCAAGCTGGGCTCTTAACACTACGTTATCCCCCTACTCCTGAAATTACTACTTTTAACCTGATGCTCAAATTTCTAGAGACATATGAATATTAAGAGTAAGTAGGCGGCGAACAATAGTCTACACATTCTCTCATGAAAAAAATGTGTTACGGTCGGTAGTTCACAGACTTTGGCATACTTCTGAGGCTGTCCTTTGGGTAAACAGTACATTTATCATTTGTGTAATGCTTTGAAGTTCTGTAACAGGCATGTACCCACATGTACAGTCAAATTTAATCCTTTTAATACTACAGAGTGGGAATTCTTGTTTCACTGTTTTAAAGCTGAAGCAAGGTAACTAAATTTTGCATTAAGTCTTAAAATCCGTAAGACTCATTACATTTTCATACAACTCTGAGAACTAATATCAATATATATTAGGAAACCGAAGTTCAGAGAGATTAGGTGGTTTGTCCCAGGTTGGAGCACTGGCAAATTATGGGTTGAGAGTCAAATCAGGTCCTGATTTAAAGTTCAAAATGCAAGTGTTGCTCTCTGTGATTTACTGTATTTCATAAAATTATTCAATATGATCAAATTACCTGAAAGGTCAGTCTAGAGTAACTTAGAACTTAACGTTTCACCTCGTTTTACAGTTGACACCAAATGATTTTTATATTTGGACATAATCTCTTACAAATTACATTGTGATGTCATTTTCACTTCTTATTTTCCAAGGTAATAATGTCAAGACACCTTTGAACAGCACTGTGGTCAAGGTCAAACACTCTGGTCTTCAAAACAGAAATGTAACACTATTAAAATATTCTACATATGGAAATGTGTTCAAAGCTTCCTCTGTAAAGTTCTTCATATAGAAATTTAATTCAATTCCTTCCAAAGAAGATTCACTGGGTTCGCACACCATGCAGAGTGCGGGGCTAGTCACTCTAACAGCCGAGGACACACGAACTGTTCAGGAGCCCAAAACGCAGCAGAACAACAGAGCGCATGAGTAGATTCAACGCAAGGCTGAGAATCCAACTCCCCCGAACACAGAGGTGTGGAGGAGGAAGACAGTAATTCTGCAAATAGGAGCTGGAAGGAAAACTGTTTGCTTACTGAGATGTCTCATGTTAAAACACTTCCTACCTACTCTGCCTATTTCCTTCCACTTTAAACCAGTCAGTGTGTGAACAACATCAGCTAGTTACCACTCCTAAATATCTTTTCTTTGCTTCCTTCATGAAAAAGTGGAATTTGGGTTTCACTTCTACAAATAAGTACAAATTCTGTAAGTGACAAGGCAGATGGGAGAAGTCACAGGCTGGAGGAACTCGAACGAATTCTCTGGAGGAGAGAGTGTAGCATGAACTGCCGTTCTGGGTATGATGCAGCCTGACTCTGGAAATGTGGATGATGCCAAACGTGAGGTCTTTCAGTTCAAGCCTGGAGAAGGCACACTTAGTTCTTTGTGCCATGGGGAATAAAGGCTTGGGTAGACCCAACAGGAAAACGTGTCTACAAAAATCATCTCAAAGAATAAACCGAAAGTCCTTCAGAAGCAGGCCAATTCGGAACAGGAAAAAATGTTTCACTGTATTTGCCAGTTTTCTGCATATGTTTTTGCATATAATGTTTAATGTATGGTTTGAGAAGCAAAGCAGTTCGAAGCAGTTGGGATACATTTAGTTTCTGTTACACTCATGTTAAGATATTCAAAAGCACAAATATGAACAATACTGTATTTGCTTATGTTAGCAGAGCCATAAGAAAATTGAGAAAAAAATAAGATAAATTATTCAATACTTTGGTTTTTCTCTTATTTTGTGACTACTATGTTCTGCCGATGTAGAGAGATAAAATGAAGAATTTGGAAAAAAAAACCTCACTGTAATAACAAAAATATCTTCAGAGTAGGAACCCAAAGCAACAGTAATGAACACTGGTGTCCAGGTAACGGTTCCCTGCGAAGCGCTTCGCTTCTTTTTACTCTAGAATAGAAGGTCCGAAGCCCCCCACCATCTAGCATCAAACCACATCTCCACCTTCATTTTCTAAAGTTAACCCACACTTCTCCACCTCCCAGGAAGACTTTTCTGTATTCTCACTGCTGTGGCTTTCAGCTGTTTTCCCACATACAAATTTAAGTCATTCGGTGAGGTCAAGTTAAGGTCACCTCATGTCCTTAAAGACTTTCTTAAGCATCACAGGTGATAACCAGCAAACTTCTGAGCTCTTGTATTTATTTCCTGGGCAGTTTCTTGGGAACATGGGCTAGTTTCATATCCTCTTGTATGGTCCCCAAAGTGTTATGTACCTTGTATTTAAAAGTGAAGAGCAAAAAAAGGGAAAGGAAATACAATACAATATAATACAATACAATATAATACAATGCAATATAATACAATGCAATATAATACAATACAATACAGGAAATGTAATCTGATTAGTCTTCACAATAGTCTTAAACCAATAATCAAATAAGTCAAAAAATAAATGAATAAATGCTTAACATACCCCATTTAGGCTGCCCAAATCTTTGACCAAATGTTCATCCGCAGAGGCATCGTAATTGATTACAGCGTGCTGCTTATCCACACTACGAGACTGGAAGACATTTTTTAAGTTAATAAATGTAAGGAAATACCGGAATAAGTAGCAAACCTAAAGATTTCTGGCTAGGTATTTTAATTATATTAATAGGTTGGTAGATAAAGATGGGAAAATGTCAAAGGAGAAGTGCACTAAACTGTATTTAAGCTACGTTACGATACACGCCAACTTGGCATCACTCCCCACGCAGGAAAGAAGCCATAATTTCAAGACATTCTTTCCTACCAAATTCACACATTCTACTTTTTAGAGAATTTAAATCAGCTGGCTTTGTTGAATGTATGAATACTTTTTTATAACTTAAAACTGTTATATGGAAATCATGCAAATTACAGTTTTATGTTTTATGTATGTTGTAAAAAAAAGTACCCTATAGAATTTTCTTCTTTTAGTACTGAAAACTACAACATAAATTGTACAAGAAAGGCCAAAGATTTAGAGAAAAAAGACACAGCGTGCCATGTTCCTGAATAAAATTGTCCTCTCTTAAAACATGGATTATGCCCTGGCTGGTGTGGCCCACTGCATTGAGTACCGGCCTCTGAACCAAAGGGCCGCAAGTTTGATTCCTGCTCAGGGCAGCTGCCTGGGTTGCGGGCCAGGTCCCCAGCAGGGGGCATGAGAGACAACCACACATTGATAGTTCTTTCTCCTTCTCTCTCCCTTCCCCTCTATCTATAAATAAGTTAAATGAAATCTTAAAAAAAAAAAAAAACAACCAGAAACATGGATTCTCACTGGGAATCCATGAAAAGAACTGAGAGGAAGGGAGAAAGGCCAGGGTGAATTATGCCCCCTACGGAGGTGGCAGAGAGCAGTGCCCTGTGAACAGCGAGGTTCCCCAGTCAGGCTGTCGGAGGCGCCGTCACAGGCACAGGCTCCCTGTGACGGCGTCAGGAACTGTGAATCTGATCTTCATGTGTGCGTGCTGATCGGCACCCAGCGCGTACTCACAGAGGACCCTCTGCCGAGCTCTTTCTCTGGGCAGCTCTCTCCTCTGATACTGGGGAACCACGCTGGACTCCTTAGACTCTCAGCTTCCATTTGTAACTCTCCTTATCTCCATTTAAGAAGAGCCTTGGCCCTGCCAGCTCCTAAAGAGCCACTCCCACATCTCTTGGGATGACACGTGGAAAGCACCTCTTCCACCCTCTGGTGAGTTAAGTTCCCCCACATGAACCTAAGACGCGGTCCAGTCCAGCGGGCCTATATCCAGAAAAAATCATTACTGCCTTTTTCTCAGCTGCCACGCTCACCACTCTATATCACTGAGGAGCCCAGAAAATCCCCGCACTGTTCTATTTCTCTCACTAAATTTGTTTAATTAAGGTGGCATTGTACATGCAACCTACTCAGCTACTCATAAAGCTACACAGTGGCTTTACTTTTATTGTCTCAAAACTATAAAATAAGTTCTTCAATTTTACAGTAAAACTGTAATAAGCCTATACAAATTTGATTGTCCTAGGGGTAACCCAGGGTTTCCCACTCTCAGCACTATCACTATTTCGGGCCAGATCCTTCCTTCTCTGTGGTGTGTATCCGGCAGTGGTGGGAAGAAGGATGCTGTCCATTGCAGGAAGCTTAGCAGCACCCCTGGCTTCTTGGTCACTGTTTATGGGATGTCACTATAACCACTGCTGACCACCAGCCACTTGTAATAATCACAGTGTCTCCAGATACCACTGAATGCTCTTGGGGACGCAGGATCCTCCCACTGAGAACCACTAGGCTAATAAACACTTCTATTCTAAGTTCTTATTTACACTGTAAACCAATTCGGAGTGGAGAGAGAAACAAGGGAATAAAATTTTACTCTAGGTTGCCAGGACCTAGTAAAATATCTAATCCTCAAAAATCTAAAGATCTATTTTTCTGTTAATTATCTCACTCAAAAGTATCTTCAAAGTATTTGTTTTTTAATCCCCACCGAGGACATGCTCATTGACTTTAGAGAGAGGAAGGAGACAGACATCAGTGGGAGCAACCCAGGCATGTGCCCCGACTGGGAATCAAACCCACAACCTTTTGGTATATGGGATGATGTTCCGACCAACTGAGCACTGGCCAGGTCTCTTATATTTAAAACTAACTCCTTTAAACCAAATTCAGTAGATGCCAAAATATTAACTATGCTCAAACTACTGGAAGGTATCATAAAGGACATCTTCCAAAGAAGCAGTGAAACTGGTACCAGTATCACTGAAGTGTCCGTGACTGCAATGCAGTTTTACTTACACTAAGCTCATTTTATGAATTGCTTACAAGTCTTATTTTTAAATTGCTGAAATCTGAGTTTTCAAAATATAGGGTCCAGCAGAAGTAACACCTGCTTGAGTGTGGTTGGTAGGGTAATAATATGGATGTAATGATTTATAGCTTTAACTTGGACATTTGACCTAAAATGTCATATGGTATGCTTGAATGTGATATTGCTATGTTACAGAATTACATGCTTATAATTTTGTAATAAAACATCTTATAATAAAAAAGGGGCGTTATTTGTACCAGACCCTGTATAATCCCCAAGACTTAGAACTTATTTTTAAATGAGTCAACAAGGAGAAAATTAATTCATTAAACTGGTAGAGAAAGCAAAAAGAGGGAGAGCCAGAAAATTCAAATCAATGTAGTGTTCTTCTCCAAAGGAGTAGAAAAGTGTTTAACACCCATGCCAGAGTCTGAGTAGACACACAGAGAAAGCTGATCCAATTACCTGCAACATGAGCTCACAGTCATCTCTCCCGACAAAAATCATTTCTCGTGGCAGCCTGTGGCGAGTGCCTCCACTGCTCACCAAAAACCAGGATGTTAAGCTCATTTTCTGCTTAGCTTCTAAGTCTTTGGCAAAGCTACGTCATCCTGCAGAGAGATGTTCAAAAACACACACATTCAGATATTTTTAGCATTAGCATCCAACCATCAAACCCTATCAGTAGGTCTAAGAATAGAGCGGCGTTCAACATTCATCCCTGACTAGAGACAGTTACGGGGCCCAGGAAACGACATAGCTGCCAAATTAGTGAAGTGCACAGATTCTACTAAAGAGTTTATTCACCTAAAAAGATATTAGATAACTATGTACATAGTCAAATTAATAAACTTTTATCACACTCCTGAAAGACTGAGCATCACTTATAAAGGTCGATAAATCCTCGAGAAAATGGTCACATTAGTATCATGTCAACATCAGTGAACACTAGCAATACAACACAAATAAATATCTAACTTATACATGATTTGAGAAAGGCAGACTAAATTCAAATGAATATATTTATATCTGATTAAGAACTAATAATAGAAACCAAAGAAATCACTTTGTTGTCTACTGAGTGTAGTCAGGCTCATGGCGGCAGAGTCCAGTTTTCAGAAATTCTTTTTTTCCCCCTCAAAAGCTCAAATATTATTGGCAAAAGTGTTTTTGTCAATACTTTTCTTTGGCGTGAGAGGCTCAATGTCTTCCAAATATAGAAGGTCCTGACTCATGTGGTTCCACTTAAGGTTTTGCAACTTTATGCTTGACGATGGTAGAAAAGCGACACATTTTCAGTAGAAACAGTACTTCAAATTTTGAATTCTGATTTTCTCCTGGGCTCGTGACATGCAGTCCAATACCCCCTGGTAAGGCTGCGCAGCGGCAACCAGCCACAGCTCCCGGCCAGCCCCGTGATGGAAAGGAGGAACGACGGATGCTCTACTGTGTGCGGTGCTCATGCCATTCTTTCTGGAGATTGTGTTTTCGCACCCGTCATGCCTATGAAACACATCTCCTGCTTATGATGACAAAAAGAAGGAAGGTGATTACCCCTAAGGTGCAACTCAAGATAATTAATTACCCAACAGTTATGCTAAAGTAAGTGTTCTGAGCACTTTTAAGGTAGGGTAGGCTAAGGTATGGTGTTGGGAAGGTTGGGTGTATTAAATGCATTTTCAACTTAATGATATTTTCAACTCACAATAGGTGTATTAGGATATAACTACATCGTAAGTTGAGAAGCATCTGTACTCATGTCTACAAACCACAGTTTGTTTGTCAATCATTGCTTCAAGTAAAAATGGTGTTCTGGGAAAGAATTGGCTAGTTCAGCTCACAACTCCAACCACGGCACAAATGCTTTTCCTTGAGACAACCATGGTACTTCGGAAAACAGCAGCGATATGCAGCTGGTATACTGCAGGAATTTTTTAAATGCTCAATTCTTGACTATTAGGGGCACTGACATCTTTGCCCTTAGATTGTCAAATTAAAAAATGACAACAGCCAACACAACAATAGCCATCCAATGTGAATGAATCACAATTATACCTATTTTCTTGGTCAGATCAGCAAAAAACCTAACACATTTTTTGGTGTGCCGCAGAACTTTAGTGATCGGTTCACGTGTGCCATGAGGTGAAAAAGGTTGCAAGTCACGGTACACGGCATTAGTGCTCTGTGCGCTTTCACTCAGTCACACAGAACAGGAGAAAGCTGTGACTCAAAGGTCGAGATTAAGTAAAACTAAGCATTTTACCACCTCATCAACGACATTCCCAAGTGAAGCCGGCAAGTGCACGGCAGTGAAGGACACAATCACTATTAGCACAGTTTGGTACTAATGCCTTGTCCTATGTGCTAAGGAGCCAGCAACTTGCCCACCACCTGTTCATACTCTGTTCAAATGTCAATAAAATACGAAGGCAAATACTGTTTTGTATTATTACTAAAACAGGTTTAATCTTGTGACCTTGAAACGGTCTCAGTGCTCCTGAAGGTCTAATGGATGGAGCTTTGAGCACTGCTGTCCTGGAGGATGTGGCTCTGCCATTAAGGACAGAAACCTTGGAGTCACACAGACTGACAGGAAGGGTCCGACTCCTGGGTCCACCACTTCTGATTCTGCAAGTTACCCCACGTCCTTTATTTTCTCTTCTATACAGTGAGAATAATGACGGCATCTGCTCAACAGTTTTTTCTTACGAAATCATAAAAACAGTGTCTGTAAATGTTTTTCCACAAACTGATATGTTCTGATACAATTTAATTAGAAGTGAACTATACTACAGTGGAATGAGATATTCTGCAATGAGAAATCTTGTAAAATGCAAAACTCTGTGTTAAGGTAAAAATCTTATATGGTACAAATTTATCTACACATTCATGAAACAATGAGTTTCAACAAAACAGGCGTATATTTTCTGTAAAGCTAAGAGTCGTATTCCATTTAGCTCATCTAATTGATATGATCAACTTATGTGGATTCTTAAACCTTCCATTCAATACCTAACTCCCTGAAGCCAGTGTCTTAGTCCACCCATGTCTGCCTGCTGTCAAATCAGTTTTAGGATTTCGTATACACTTCCTGAGCAAGGAGAGAGAATCAAAGAAACTTTGCCTGAGAAAAAGCCTCCCATCTAAATATAGTATATAATTTGCATACTGCCTTTCCAAGGAAGGACAATTTTAAAACATGACACTAATAAGTAGGTCAGTAGCTTTATGATTATTTAAGAGCACTGAAGAAAAAAACCTTACAATAAGACATTAAAAGGAAGTCCAATTAGCCTAAATAAACTAAAACACCCAAGCCAAACATAGGCAACAGGTACAGTTTCTTAACATTTTTCAAAATCACAAAGTTATACATAAGCATTATTCTTATGCTACAAAAACATTGTTTTAAGCATTCATAAAATATCAAGCATGATTATATAATATACAAAGCATAATATAAAACTCCAACATAAACACATAATATAAAAAAGTCATTGGTTTTTATACCCTTTTGACTTATAATGAGGCTTTAAAAAGCCAATTAAAAGAATATAACTTTTACGAAAAACAAAAATAAAACACATGATCTTCAAGGTGAGGTGTTTTTTTTTGTCTTTTTTTTTAGTTATTGGGGTGAGTCCTCTTTCTACCTTACCTACAGTGGGAGGGAGTGAGATATAACATAAGCTACTGTCACTCAGTTTTCATAAGGGGCTCGCCACTCCGTAACTCTGACGCATACTTCCTTCGGCCAATGGGATGACGTCAGTACACGTGATGCAAGCGGAGGTTACATACTGTGTTTGGGCAGTTGGGCCTGCCCTCTCCTGCCCCTACCATCATCAGAAAAACAACATGCTGGCCCTGGCTGGTGTAGCTCAGTGGATTGAGCGCGGGCCTGCGAACCAGAGGATCGCGGTTCGATTCCCAGTCAGGGCACATGCCTGGGTTGCAGACAAGTTCCCTGCAGGCCAGTTCCCAGCAGGAGATGCACGAAAGGCAACCATATATTGATGTTTCTCTCCCTCTCTCTTTCCCCTCTAAAAATAAATAAATAAAATATATTAAAAAAAAAAAAGAAAAACAACATGCCCTGGTTACAGGTGAATGAGAGACATGCACAACAGATACAGACCTAAAGTACAAACTGAAGCCAGTCCTCAGTATACTATCCAATCCCTCGCTAAACGACAGATACAAGAGCAACAATAACAATGGTGGCTGTTCCAAGCTACTGGGAGACATGAGCTGATGTGCTTCATCACTGAATATAATGCATGGAAGGTGACTACTATATTTACTAAAACACAGTATTTTTCTTAAAAGTGCATTCACAATGCAATATACTCATTTGAATGTTTTAAAAAATAATACACAAATAGAATTTTTGTGGAAGTTGTCTTTTCCCCCTAGTTTACTCTTTTCATGATGGTAGGTAGCATCCATTGGCGCAATAAACGTAAGGCTGCTTTACATTACAGAACTACAAACGACGAGTGAAGAAAATTCGTGGCTTATTTTAATAAAGAATCCAATGACTGGAGAACAGCAGTGGGAGAAGATTCAAGCTCACTTTTTATTTAGGAAAAAGAAAAAAGGTCAATACCCACAATTTACTACCAGCACCCCCCAACACACACCTGCTCACCCTGCCCCCGCTGAAACAGTACAGTATGTCCACACGAGAATCTTACTACTCCCCCAACAGTGGACAATACACACACTGCTGATGTTACAGGAGATAAGTCAAGGAATGATCCACAGAGTAGCAATTCCCTTCGCTAAGCACAGCACTTTACCCCATCCTTGCCTGCAACTGATGGCCACATGTTTGGAGTCTCTCTGATTTACTAACTTCAGATAATAAACCCCGACTCTGTTGTGGGAAAGAGGGTTTGGGCAGTGAGCCCTAAATGTTCTCTTTGTGGACTTCCACTGATCTTGTTTTTGATTCGTACCTGATCTCTGCCTCCAAGATTCCCGGTTACTGCAAATTCCTAAGTCTAGCCAAGACTCTGTGAGAATTGATGTACTTCTTTACACCACCTTAGTAGGCACTTAGGTCTCAATATCGTCCTTCAAAAGCTTCCTCTCTTCTAAAACTTTCCCAACTTCACTCTTCATGAGCGGTTTCCTCTTTCTTTGTTTTAGTGGAATTCTGGTAAGGAATAGAGGTTCGATTCCTCGAAAACTCCAGGGGTTTGATTTATTACATTTCTTGTTTATTTTTATTAATAAGAGAAATAAAAGTGAAACCATTCCCAGAACAACACTTGATGAATAATATTTTAGTTACTTGAAGCTTTCCCTCCTTCTATTCAATTATATGTAGGTACATAAATGTCCTGATGATTGTGATTATTATAGATGCCAAGATATAAAAGCCTATCATTTTCTAAGCCTAGTTAACATACGACTTTGAAATGAAATACAGGAGAGAAAAAGTAGAATAGCTATGCAGAATATAATAAAATATCTCAATGACCATATACTATCTCTATTTTCATTATGTGCTATAGTTTTTCCTCTACTTCTTTTTTGCAGAATGAGTCAAAAATTTTAGCTACCCCAAGATAAATAAATTCCTAATAATAATATCTGCTCTCCA